TAAATTTTCGAAGGTGATCTAAATTTGTGCGAACCGCGTGATTTCTGTTAAAGTAATTAAATAATTTTGGCAATTAAATTATTTTTTTGTTTTTTACACGTGCACCGCAGATCGTATTTATTAATTAACATAACGTATATATTGTTGTAATAATATAGTATAATAATATAAATTTATGTACAAAACTGGGCTCTAGTTTTTGTGCGGGCCACATGGTTTCTGTTGAACGTGTTAAATATTTTTTCCTACCATCATATTTCTATGTATCGTTAAATCACTTTTTCCTATATACGATTATAATTGTTTTTATTTATTTATTATGTATGAACTTTAGAACGGCACAATATGTGTACAACATAAGTGGAGGGTGCCAGTTATATTTCGGAGACGCGGCCAGGCCCCGATGTAAGCATAAATTAGTAAATATAATAATATGTAATATATAAGTATGAAAGTGTAAATTATGTTTCCCCTTTTCAGTATGTTACAACTGCGGTGGAGCGGGGCACTTGGCTCGGGACTGCAGTGAGTGTGTATTTAACATTTTTCTTAAAATAAAAATTATATAAGTGTATGTAATTCGTATTGTAGCCCGGCAGAGAAGTCGAGAAGACAGTCGTGGGAGGAGGAGTGGTAGGGGTGGCACGGGTAGGGGCGATGGTCGGCCTGGTCGGGGAAACCGATGTGGTGGCCGTGGGGCCCGCGGCCGCACGAACACCGACCGTGAGCGGGACCGGAGCTTGAGACGTAGCGGTGGATCGAGCAACGGCGGTAGCAGGGAACGCTCGTTTTCCCTGCCGCTCTCCACGCTGCGTATCCGCTCACGGTCCCGCTCCCGGTTGTCAAGGTGTTCGGGGACGTCGGACCGCACCCTGACTCAGGACGAAGTAAGTCACTCTGTATGTTTAGAAAATATTCTCTTTTTGGAAAGCGCTTGGTTCTAATAAAATACATTGTTTTCAGCGGGCAGCACGCGAACTGCATTCCGGGCCAACCCCCCGCAGTACGGCCACAAAGGCAAGTATATTTTGTATAGTTAAAATGGTTCTTGATAATAATATAATATAATCTTAAATATAAATAAACCCATTAATTTCAGGAGATCCATGGGGGCG